CCCTGATACTCATGACTTTGCAATTTGATTTCAAGAAAAGAAAAATAACTTTTAACATTGAACAAGTACTTTATCCTGAGGGACAAAACTGTCTTGAGGACATCATCAACATTGCAGAACAATTCCACTGAAATAAATGTTAGTTATGGATGGTCTGTGTAACGGTGAATGTACACTGAGAGAGCATGAGACTGTGTTTCAGGAGCCTTTTTGGACTAGAGTTCTGCTTTCAAGTCTTATTTTTCCCTATTTCTAGTTAATTTTATTATATCAATTCCTACCTTAAATATAGCATTGAAAAGAATATTTCAGTTGGAAAATGGAGTTAGATGGCATAAGCTTGCTACACATTTATTTCATTAAGGTGGGGCTTTGTAGAAAAACTATTTCTGAGCACATGTAGAAAAGTCTTTATGAGTAAAAAGACTCAAAGTGTTTGATCTGATAATATGCATGATTCTAAACAACCTATTGACGCCTATGATCTACTGCTAAAAAAAGATAAAAATTGAGCTGGCATGTCACTAGCATATGATTTGAACCAGTAGAGGGTTTGTGGAGTAAGTTTTGGGACAGGGTATCACCAGGATTAATACCTTGGTTTTAGTGGTCGGTGTTGATTGAGAGAGAGTGTTCACCTTTGACAGGTGGTGGGTGCACTTGTAGGTTTGGGGCTGGGAGAGGCTGCTGAGCTAAGCGAGGGCTGGAGCTTGGGGCAAGTCAGATGCTAGAGCAAAAACAAACATCCTGCAGCGCACTGCCAATATGCACTGAGAGGGGATGCCTGAGCATTGAGTTAGGCAAAGACAAACAAGGTTTAGACTGCAAGAAAACTGGGATCTAAGGCAAAAACATGTTTATAGAAGCCTGCCAAAATAATCCCAAAGCTACAATATCCATTACTGGAAGTTTGATGGTGGTAGCTCCAATTTCCATCCATCTTCCAGTAAGTTCTGGCTTACGAAAGAGTACATCTCGGTCAGTATTAACTGATGCTGTCCTTGTTTCCAAGCAGAAATGTACATGAGAAAATGTCAGAAACTAGTATGTAAGAATTAAACCACTCTGGATTAGCCTTTGGCTGCTGTAGAGCACCATGAAGCATCAGATATCCTGTATCGTTTCTGTTTGGGATAGAGTCCCAAGTTTTGACAAGGACAGATACACACAGACATATATATGTATACACATACACAGAGCAGATTATTAGAGTACAAAATTATGATCCAATAGCTAATAAACCTGAGAGGTGTCTTGAAGGGAGTTTCAGTATGATGTTATATGGTTATGTTTTGATAAAGTAGTTAATAGAAGAAAGGTAGTATAATCTCTGAGAGACAAATGGACCACAAAAAAAAAAAAAAAAATCCAGGAAGGCCATCCTATCCCAGGTGATCTGCCAACAACCCTACAGCTTAATACTGGAACTTAATTCCTACTAATGTGAATTACTTCTCACTCTCTTTCTAGCTGTCCTTTCCTCCCCTTGCCCTCAAGTCAGAAGTCTGCTTTTCGATGTCTGAATTAAATATTGTTCATCTCGTACAGTTCGGAGTTCAAGATCCTACTTGTACGTGGCATGACCTCTGACTAGCTGGAAAAATTTACTCAAATACAGGCTCTGTGATGAGAGGCCAACAACTGGATGCAGTTTCCACAGCAAAACTTGTGTCACTTAGCTTCAAAACAAGCCTGCATTTATTGAACTAAAGGAGTTCAGTGGCACAGCCAAGAGCTCAAAAACACACGCGGTCTGACAAATTCTTTTCAGCCAGCGTCAACAGTACCCACAGACAGACAGGCATTTCAAGCCTCAGTTCTTCTGAATCAGAGAGGATGAATCAGGATGAATAGTTTCAGCCAAACAAGAATATTCAGTGGTTTTATCTATCTCACCTATGAATAGCATCACATACTACCAGTAAATAAATAACTGCTTAATGCCTGCAACCTGTATCACTTGCCACCTCCTTACCCATCTGCCTGCACGTGTACAGGGGCTCATCAGGGCAGTCTCTTGGAATCCATGCATTCTGTTCTCACAACTGTCCTCCAAGTGGACAACTAGATTTACCTTTCAACAGTGGGGAAAGGAGGGACAATGAGGGGGAACAGGTGTGGAAGCTTGGAAAACATGTAGGCTCAACGTGTGTGCGCAATCAAAGGCGGTGGGTGCAGAGCGAATGGAGCTGGCTCTGCACAACCCGGGGTGTTGCACTGGACATGTGTAATTATTCTGTGCCATATGGTTCTGTGTTGCAGTGACAGCAGGGATGTGTCACCTCCCTTGGAGTTGGCTCTGGTGCCTTAGCAGAGCGTGGCTTTGTGGGTGCAGGCATGGCCAACAACCAGGCAGGCAGAGCTGCTGGGAGTGGGAGAAGGAATAAGGTCTCTGTTGAACAATTAGTCCTCTCACTGCTATTGGTGTCAGGTTGGAAACATTGATTTGTCCAAGGTCACCCAAGCAACTTAGAGAGTAGAACCAGAAAACTGCCCCTTCAGTTTGTCATAGTCACTTCACAGAACAAGATTTCATATAATGAAGAGAGTAATTCGCATTTGCGTGACAGAATTAACAATTATTTCACTAGAGCCATGACCCAAGTTTTAAGATTCTGAAACCAAATAACCTTTCTTCAGTGCCTGAACTGATCCTTTGAGCTTCATCAGTTACATTTTTCTATACGAAAAGAAAGATCCTAGGCCACTACCTCTTGTTTATGGCTGTGAACAACTTGCTGCCCAATTTACTACTGGTTTGATTTTAATTAATAAAGAAGTTAATAAGATTTTTTTTTTAAGTCTTTGGACAAAATTGATTTAAAATACACTAGGTAGAGACCTACTATAAGTAAAAATAACTTTGAATGAAGATGTATCTGTTGAATTTACTTCTGAGGTTCCCTGCACACTCACAAAACAAGCACTCTATTTCAAACATGACAGCTACAATAAATTAAAGACTTGTATTTGTGCATATAACATATTATTTCATGGATAGCACACACAGTTATCATATCATACTGTCATGATATTTGTTTGATGTTCATATAAGGACACAGTTAAGAAGAGAGCGTTCATCACCTTTTTATTAAGGTGACAAAAAAATGAGAACCATCTCTCACTTGGAAGAAGCTTGTTTGGAAATAATTTGAAACACTAGCCCCCTCTCAGGAGAGGCAGCAAAAATATCTCTTCTATCATCTTACAAGAGTAGCCTGTGAGCCACGTTAATCATCTTGGACTGAAATTTATAACAACATATGGGAGACTTGTCTCACTATTATTAGAAGTTGCAAGTTTCATATGTGTTCGTCAACTAATTTAAGGGTCACTCCTGCTTCGAACATTATACCCCAAGTAATAAATGCTATAACAGATCATTTGCATTCAGGAAATTATTTTTGGAAGAAGCTCCTGCTTAATGCAAAAGGTCAAAGGCCACTGGAACTTACAGTGAAGAGTTGACTTCTCTTGGGGCCTGATCCACACAGCCTTTGTAAGTCCATATGATCTTTTAATTCAGCTTCAAAGGGTTTCGATACCACTGCCTTTGGAATATTATGTCTTTAGTGATATTTTGCCAGGTTTAAATAGTATTTGCTCACGGCTTTGTGTGTGTGCTTGTTAAAGATCAGAATTGCACACAAGATTTGATCTCTACGACCAGCACTGTGACTTTTCTGAACCATTATTATACTTCAAATTCAGCACTGTTATTTCATCCTTTGAAAGAAGAAAGCCGCTTTATGCTATAAAATCTCTGTGCTTGACTCTGTGTCAGTATTATAGGCACGAATAAAGAATTTAGTAAAAAAACATTTACATCTCTTTGGATTTCAATACAGTTTCTCAGTCTGAGAAGAAAAGTAGAAGGAAGATTTTGTGCTCCCCTCCACAGTGGATTTGATGGTGTTAGAAATGTTTACATAGGCACACTGATGGTGATGCTATCACACTGCAATAGTATCCATACCCCACCCTCACCCCAAAACCAAGATCCTACAGACTCAGTGCTACAGCCAGGAAAGGACATTTTGGAAGGTTCTCAGCCACTTCTGAAAGTTGTCGCTGAGTGTCATCAAAGTGAAAAAATTCTGTTTATTTAAGCTGCAAAACACCTTTTTTTCTCTTTAGCTTTAAATATACTTATGCTGCTCCTACATTCATGCATATAGGAGATGGAAAGTAAATTTATTCTAGCTTAGTTCCTGAAGGCTGAGCATGCAGCAGGCAATATCTCAGGTAGTGGTGTACACACTGGGTGTATGCTACACCACTGGATAGCAGTAAAGATAATGTCAGACTTTTCTTTTACCCTGTAAGGAAAGGTAGATTTAAGATCTAATATAGAAAATCAAAGCTTCTGTGGTACAATCTCACCATTGAGAAACTTTGGGATCTTATCCACTGTTAAATTACATTTGAGGGATGTCACTGATGAAAAGATTTAGTATTCTAATTATCAGCCCATTCAAACTCAAGTGCAGTATTTAAAACTATGACACGATTTAAAAAATCTTAATAATGCATTGTTTAGGCAAATTTAACCTGTGCAAATTTCTTTTGAGATGCAAGAGACTGCCATGTCACAGAAGCAGCCAGGACCCCCCAAAGTGAAATAATTTGGTGTTGCTTTTAAGAGCCACAGTTCTCCTGAGGTTTGGCCACAGCTAAACTGGAAATGCTTTGGGAAAAATGCCTTTTTTCTGCCTTCCAGTCAGACAGACGTGTAGAGCAAACTGTTCAGCTGGGAGTACTGAACACACAGTCAGCCAGGAGGAACAACTGAATTACCTGCAAAGCTTATACGGTTTTATGTTTCTTATTCTTTAAAAAAACTGTTGCTATTCAAAGAGAACACCACTGTGAATAGCTGAATTAAAAACTTCTCTTCAACGTGCACCAAATACTGGTGTGAGCATGAGTAAATGTAAGACAACTGTATTATCCACAGCTGTATAATCAATATATTGCCTTGCCTGAAATACTGTAGACATCTGCAGAATATTGTTGTTTATTCCATCTTCAGAGAAAGGAACTCCTCACCAAGTAGCCCTAGAGAAGGGAAACAAAAATGGTACAGGGCTGAAGAACTGAAAAAGCAGAGCATTTACTATAGAAAAGAAAGAATATGATAAATTACCTAAAGGTATGCGTGGAACAGAAGAAGCAAATGAGAAATTGCTGATTTCTCATAAAAATAAAAAAAGTATAATAGACCATATAATGGAATGCAAAGGAAAGACATTCCATAGTGGCTAAAATTTTTGATCTCATGCTTTCACACTGAAGCCAGTCCTTCGTAGAGCTCAAGGTAAAGAGCTGTGAGGTGGCAGAACATTTTGCAGGCTTGCTGAGATTTCTTGAGGATTGTACAATTTCCTAGTACCCATGATTTTGGTAAAGAAAGGGAATTTTATAGCAGACCTAAAGGACCTAGTTCTCTGATTTCACAGCCTCAACAAAAATGAGTTGATTATTAATTAAACAGAAAGGTACCTATTTGATAGAACACGCAGCTTAAAGACAGGTGCACTGGAAAACAAAAGACACTGGTGAAAAACAGAGGCAAGAATGGACAGATAAAAGAGGGAACAGCAGTTCAAGGAGCAGTTTGCACTCCCTGTAGCCATGTTTCTCTTCACACCTCTGGGTAAAGCCATGTGAATCTGATGAAAAAGATGCCCATAAATATTATGGCACTAGTTGTTAGTAAGCACAGAAATGTAAATAAACTGAATGTTATTGCTTAAGACACGAAATGGCTAAATCAGATCCAAGGATTTAGCCCTGAGGGTCAGCAGCAAGATACTGAAAAGATATTTGCATGACATCTTTAAAAAAGCAGAGAAAGCTTACCAGGCTTGTTTGAATTATAATGAAAGCAACCTGAATTCTTGGCTCATGAAGGGTTTTGTCATATGGATGCAAAGCCTGCTCTGGAGGCATGTGCCTCCTCAGTCACTCACAGGAACTGCCCCGAGCCCCACCAGCTTTCTTGTTGATTACTAATCCTTAGCCAGACTTGTGATTTATTGTGGTTCTCTACTAAAACACCCGCTCTTACTCTGATCATCTGTAGAATGCCAAAAGAGGTTTTCCAGGAAAAAGCCAAACCAAACCCACAATATTTTATAACGGCTACTGCGGCTGCCATGGAAATTTGTGAGCAGAGTGTCTGGATGCAAATTGTGATGGATATTTCCCCTTTGCTGTGGGAGGCAAATGAACCAGTAAGACAAAACCAATTCAGTTCTTTAGCCATGTCTCCAAACAGCCTTCAACACCAGCTGAGATGAGGCAGTGTCAGTGCATTTGGGCAAGCTGGTTCCAGCTCCTCATCCATCCCCTGCCTTACTTCTTGTAAGAAACGTATTTCTTGTAAGAAACATATACCATTCGTCATGTGGCACAATTGTGGAAAACATTTAGTGACATTATGGTCCCCCAGCTAATGCCTGATTGACTGACATGAGGAAAGCTTTATACAGAAAGGCAATCACGTTTCCTAAACCAATTGTAAGTAACAATGAGCAAGCTTTTGAGCAGAAAACCTCTCATTTGGTTAAATGTCTAATTAAAACATATATATGTACATATATATATATATGTATATATATGTGTGTGTTTGTGTGCACATCCCCCCTCCCCGTAACTACATATATACAAACACAGTAATTCTGAACACAGTTGAGGATTTAGTGAAGTAATTTCTCTCTACCAAGTTATTACTGGGATATTAAAATTTACCACACTGCTTTCTCAGAGTTATTAATATAAATCATTAGCTACATCAATTCAAGTTTAGAATTAGCAAAGCAGTCAATTGTACAATTCAACAGTTAACAATTAGTTTTCCTTTGTTCTAGAGGCTTTGGACAAAATGACAAAATGCTTCAATTTCTTAATGTTGAGCTACTTTGGTAAATTGTAGGAAGTATAAAAAGGTAATTTGAAGCAGTCAATTTTATTTCCATTTTGCATTGCATTCCTAATTGTACTATCCATCTCTTTTAATCAACATGCACTACAAAGCCTTAAAGTTTGGTCAGATTATTATATTTTTAATTGGTCATAAGCTCGCCTTTTGTATGCAGCATGAGTTTTTTCTTCTTAAAATTTCAGAAGCAGTTGTGAACTACTGCTTGAAGTATCTCAGATTTGTGTCCTGAAAATATCCTGGTACCAAGTTCACTTGACATAAAAAAAGCTCTGTGTAGTTATCACAAAATCAGTAGCAAACAAGTAATTCTGTTTTTATTAATCTGGGTATCCATGGGATACTTTTTTCTATTACCTCTTCCAGGTCTACTCACTAAAAGCCATTCACCAGCCTTCAGTAATAAGAGTATGCCTATTCCAGCTGGATCTGTGCTAGGACATCTTAAAACTAAACTCTGAAGCAACATCCACTGTAATACTTCAGAGTCATTGTGTGAATTCTGTTTTTTAAGCATCCTTTCAATTATTTGCATAGTCAATAGAGAGTATGAAATCTTTACATCATTTCCATGAGTGTAAGGCATATATCCATGGATACAGTGATAGTCAGGCTCTTTGCTACAAGACTGTGAAGAGTTAATTCCTAAGTAGATTTATATCTCTGCAGAATGAGAGAGGGGGCTTGAAAGTCTGTTACTGAAGGAAAACCCCCCCAAATAGTCAATTCCTTTGTGGTTTATCCTTGTTTCTCATCAACCAGTTGGCTAATGCTGGGAATTAGCAGACTGATGGGAAAGGAAAACTTGCAAGTCCCAAGCAAACTTGTAAATTTTTAAAGTATCAGCCTTTAAACTGTAAGGAATTGGAAGTGTCTGCTATAGGAGCCAGAGACAGTTCCTAAGAGGAAAAGGCACTAAAGCTAATCCTTTAGTCAGTATAGGCAGCTTTTCTTCAGTTGATGCTCTTATGTGATGCTTCGTAATGGAGCTCATAAATAGGAAACATCTTTACTACATCAACAGGGAGCAAACAACACATAAGGAAAGATATAAATAAAGGAAAGGGAGTAAAATCTGGGTTTCTTCTTCCCTTGGATGCTTCAAAACCTTTAAACAGTTGCAGTAATTATGTGAAAACCCTCCAAAGGTACCCATTACAAAACTTAGAATTTATGTTCTTTTCCTCCAAATGAGAATCAAATACATCAAGAAGTTTTACTCAGTCTTAGATCTGTGCTTTTTTTCTTCTAAAACCCTAAAGCAGATAATATGATTTCCTGTCTCTGCATTATTTTGTACAGGGTTTTTCACAGATAATACCTGATTTTTGGAGTCTTACTTTAAACGAAGGAGCTTCCTCAGAAGCTGCAGCCTTTTGTGCCTGCTTTTTGTCATTACACATTTATGACACTGAATGACTTAGAAAGGTTTAATACGTTATATTTCATCATAAAAAATTAGCTGATTATTTTTTTTCCTCTGTGGGGTTATTGAAAATTTACATTACCAGCATTTTTAACACCAGGATTAAAGCAGGTAGCCTAGCTCTAAGCTGTCAATGAAACAACTCCTTTGCTGATGAATATGCAGATTCAAAGGCCTTCTTGTATGACTGCAGATCTGAATGTTGTTCTTTGATTTCTTTGAGAATGTTGCCACCACTTCTCATTCAATCATAGAATCATTTGCCTCAAATTAACCTGTCCAAAGCTGACCATAGATCAGCAGAGGGCAGAAAGGAAAGGAGAAGCTGCCCCATAATTTCATCTTATTGCTGGCATCAGATGGAATTCATCTTTCTCGAAGGAGGAAGATGGCCCTTACTCATGAGCCAGCAGGGCTGATTGACAGAGCTTTAAACTAGAGTTGAAGGGAGAGGGGATAATATCAGGATTGCCTGTGACAAGCTGTGGGACAACTCACCAAGGTCAGAGGGACAGGATGCAAGTGAGGGCCCTCAGCCGGTGTGCCAGAGCACACTTGAAATCTTACAGAGATGAGCCAGGGGCTCCTGAGGAATTGGAGCCAAGAGGGAAACACCAGTGAAATACTTCAGACAGCCCAGATGAGGAGCCTCTACACCAGAGGAGCTGGAAGCTGCTGTGCTGCTGGAAAGCTGTGACCTGCTTGACATGACTGAAACTTGGTGGGACGAATGACGTGACTGGGGTACAGCTATTGATAGCTGCAGGGAAGAGACAGGGAAGGAAGGAGAGGCCAGGGGGTTGCCCTCTACATCAGGAGATGTAGAGTGTGAAGAGCTGTCTCTAAAGAATAGCCACGAGCAGGTTGAAAGCTTAAGGGTAAGAATCAGAGACCAAGCCAAGGGATCTCGTGGTTGGTGCCTACTACAGGCCTGATGAAGGTGAGCCCATTGATGAAGCCCTCTTGCTCCAGCTACAGAAGGCATTGCACTCACAGACTCTTCTCCTGCTGAGAGGCTTCTGCCACCTTGACATCTGCTGGGAAAGCAGCACAGTGAACTGTAGGCAATCCAGGAGACTCCTGGAGTGCATGGAGGATAACTTCCTACACCAGGTCATAGATGGCCCTACCAGAGGGGAGGCAATGGACCTGATGGGCACCTATGTGAGTGGGAGAGGGGAAAAGAAGTTATTCTTACCTCTGTGTATCACTGAATTGCTGTGATTCTGCTTATCACTCATAGATAAGCAGGTATCAGGTGTTACAGGCTGTTCCCACTCAGCCTGTGTATTCAGTAGAGGAAAAATCATGGAGTGGGACCAAAGCCAAGGAAACACACAGGCCATAGAGAGGACATCAAAAGGATAGTTTGATAGGAGGAGCGAAATCTATCCCATGTATAGCTATCTCCTGATCAAAAAAGTTGATTAATTCAGTCCATGGCACTGGGGAAGATTAAATGAGTCAAATTCACTGCAGTTTGCAAAGCTGCATTTTCCTATTCTTTCAGGAACATCTATTAGCTCTTAACCTGTTATGTATTAAAAAAAAAATAAAAAAATGGAAGGAAAGAGAAGCAGGAAGAGTAAAAGGAAAGAAAAAGAGTAGTGGCACTCCCTTCCCAGCAGATGCCATTCCAGAACAACCCAGCAGAGGACAGGCCACTCATATAAAATCACTGACCTCCTGGGGCGAAAATCCCCTTTGAAGAGCTGTGTCTTGGAGAAAATACAAGTATTCTCATAGCTGGAGACGAAGTCTTTTGGTATTTCAAGCACTTTCTGCAAATGCACAAGTGAAACCTCTCCAAGCATGGTAACAACTCCTTAGAGGAATTCAAGGTTTCCCATCAGAGATGCAGCTGACACAGCTATTTTAAAAGACATTGAAGATGAAAGTCAGGATGAATGTCAGGAATTTTTGGTAAAAGCATAAAAGCTAAAACTGTAAAGGAAAAATAGCATCCTTTAACAAGGGCAGAACCCTTAGAATTAAGTAGGTATTTAACGGGGCTCTTTTATAATATTTATTATAAGATACAGAGACACCACAGCAAAGGTTGCAGAACAAAATCCTGAATACAAAAGGACTCAGAAAAACTGGAAGCTTTCACTATGACTGCATCCTTCCTTAAATGTTTTTAATGAGCCTAATATGCTCCCTATCTCTTCACAGAGTTCATTGCCACTGGTGTATCTGGTTGGTTCTGGAGCAACATGTACTGGAACACACAGAAAAGAAAAAAGCAACAGGGCATTTTTGGCCCACTCCACAGGTACAGTTATGCACAACAAAAGCTGCTGGAGGGAAGGAGATGGCCAGAAGCTGAAGGTAACTCCATATGACTTCCCCAAAGCCCATGTTCAGCAGCATCTCTTGGGCAAGCTGGGAGGTGCATCCCGGGCTGAAATGGCCACGGCAGCCTTTAGCCACCAGTTTTACCTGTTTCCCCCATTTAGCCATTACACTCTTACATACCATGGCTTGTGAGACACCCCTTGGCAGGCAGAACTCACTAGTGTCCCCCACAGCTCCTGAGCGGAGGAAATCACCTGCCAGACAGAGTAACACTTTGTCTTGGTACTCAAACTGCAGAGACTCAAGTACACCCTATGGGAGACCACCTAAAATCCCAAATTGCTGAATATCATGATTTTTCAGGGAAAACAACCTGACAGCAGGAGTTGAGAAGAAGCTGCAGCACACCCCACACAGATGCCAGTGTACCAAGGCATCCATACCCTGCACCATGTGTGCTCTTCTCCTGTGTGAAATAAGATACTTAGAATGGGAAAACCAAGATGAATGGATTTCTTTTTTGGTAAGTTTGGGGAATTAATTATTCATACCATCAACAAAGATGAAGTTGACTTTCTGTAGCTGATTCAGCACAATGTTTAGAAGGTTATGTATGACTACATTTTTAAGAAAAAAAAAAACAACATAGCAGAGGACAAACTCTTTCAGGGCATTTGTTACAGAGCAAGAATTCACAGTAGTTACAGCTTTCATATTTTACCTCATGGTAATAAGTTTAACTTTAAAAGTGCTTACTTTTCCCTTACAGTAGCTGCATTTACATAATGTGATCGTGATGATGTTTTTATAGGCTTTTTGTCATTTTAAGAGTTCTTTCTAGGTGTTTTACATACGTGACCTTGTATCTGCTTTGAGGTTCAAAGTAATGCATTTATCTTGTGATTCAAGTGGCTAAGAGCAAGGATCTGGTGAGTTAAGAAGGCTGGGATCATAGTTAAGCACTTAAAACACTAACTCAATTATATTTAATATCTGCTTTTTTAATTTAAATTTAAATTTAACCAAAAATAACTTCACAAACATTATTCACAGCTTATAGAAGCTAAGAGAAAGATGAGTCCAAAAAGAATTAAAATGGAGTTTTCTATCCATTTTAATATGCTATTCTAGAAATTAATCTTCGTGTTGACAAAAGTGAGAGAAAAGGTGACTCAAATAGTATCTTCCTCACCAGCTCAGGAGGAATGTTCTTTCTTCTTTATAAGCAAACCAGGGAGAGAAGCCAACTGGTTCAGAGGTAGGACTTGACATCAAAGGAGAACAGCAATCACAGACTTACAGTGCATTTCAGAACGCCTATCTTTTTTCTTGAAGTTCTACCTTCTGAGGTGAATAAATTATGCAAACTATTTCATTTAACTTAAACAATAGAATAAAGAAAAGCGAATTTCTGGTCCTGCAGACTATAAGAAAGTGTTTGAAAATCTAGCCTGGAGCAGGATGAAGTTGTCTGATTTTGGGCAGGGTTATAGCCCATGTCCCTTTCCTTCCCTGCCAGGAAAGCAGCTCCTTCATACTCCTGCAGCTCTCCCTTTTCTCAGAAATGTCCTGGTTCCCTTCCATTTCCACTTGGTCCACCCCCAAAACAAGCTCAGCTCCCAGCCTGCTCCCTATCTGTGTTTTCTGGGTTGCTGGCCCGGCACAGGATGACAGGCTGTGGACTGTCCAGAGCGCTCAGTGTGCTGAGTGATGCCAGAGGAGCACAAGCTGATTGGTTGATGAGAGGCTGCCAAAAAGGATGGGTAATGGTTGGGCTCTGTTTGCCTTCTCCTCAGGGAGGGCATTAGTAATCTCCTTTCCCTCTGCACAGTCACTGTTTTTCCATAAAACTCCCAGTAACAGTGCCTTGTGAAACCTCTATATCAGTCAAATTTGTAGGGGGTGGGTTTGGGTTTTTTCTTTCTTTTCTTTTTTTTTTTTCTTTAAGGTTTTCCCATGAGTACAAAAGCTCCTGGTGCAGGCTGGGGGGGAAAGGAGAAGTTGCCAGGTAGACAGACGTGTGCCTTTTTCCTTTAGAAAAGAACATTCTTTCATTACTTGATCTTGGGGGCCTGAGCCATGATCTTTGCATAGTCAGAATTGGGAATACTATTCACTATTGGCAGGCACAATGGGGAGAATGACACAAATCCCAAAGACAATATTAAAATGCCATAAAGTTCAGTAAAACGTGCATTTCATTTTTAACTCTTCTTTAGTTTTGCTAATGTGTTGGAGTTTCCTGTTGCTGTTGTTTTTATTATTTTTTTTTCCAAATAAATTTTAGAACAACTTTTACCTGGTCCCTTTATCACTTAATTTTCTCACCTCTGTCATCTACCTCTGGAGTCATCACTTTCCAAAAACACTACAATGAAAGTCAGACACAAAACCAAATGACACATTATATTTTTATGATCAAAGAAATCTGATCCTTCAATAGCTCCTGCTCAACTGCAATTGTTTGTGCTCTTTTCCACACACTTGAAATTTCATAGAAAAACAAAAAGCCAGCAACGACAAAAGATGAAAAGTATTCTACTAACGGCCTAGAGTTATTCAGGATAGATGGATATGAAGTGAATTTTATGAGGGAAAAGTAAAAATATTGCTCTTTACACGGACTTTTTGAAGAGGAAAAGTAATGCAGCTGCTTGGTGGTTGAGAGCAAGCTCAGCTCTTGCTTGGAGCTCACTGGGGTTCCAGGCTTACAGGAGAGGGCTTTGGTCCCACAGTCACAAACAAATGCTGCAGGGAGCAAAGGGGCCCTTGTAGCAGATTAATGGAATCATTGCAGGGAAAAAGAACAGTGAAGCTCTGCCTGCTCACAGTGAGCCAGTCAGAGTGGGAAGACCCTGAAGAAGAAGGAGCAGGCGAGGTACCAGTGCGGCTGCAGAGCACGTGCCAAGAGGAGTCACGGTGCTGGAGGCATCGCTTTGCTGAGCACATCTCTTGTCCCTCTCCCTCACAGATGGCTCATAGCCATTGTCTGCCAGAACACTTCATTACTTTCCTATTAATGACTGCATCATAATTTCCACCTGTTTATTGACGGATCATTGTTTTAAACTGTTTCTAGTGTGAAACCTGGTACCTGTCAGGGTTTCTGCTTGATGGGAGATTGCTTTTTATAGCCACATGGTTAAATCATTCTAGTTTAAAACAAAAAAAATAAAAATACTTTTAGTATGACATTCACTGTCATGATAGTAAACAAACAAACCCCAATTTAAATCCCCCCAAAATTCCCCAACAGGTCAGTGTTTTTCAAAAAGATTCTTACTGTGAATCATCCTGTGCATCTCTCATAAAAATACATTTCTAGCACTTGACATGCACTAAGAGTCTGCTTAAAATATATTACAGGCATGACAGGCAGTGTCCAGTGCAAAGTCAGATCTATCCTGTCTTCTAGTTCCAGTGAACCACAAGCCCATTTACGTTACCTCGTGTTGCGAGTAGCTGCATCGGTATCCCGTGTAAAAAGCAAATCCTCAGGAGCTAAGGCAGCACACTGCTAGCTTTAAAGGTGGATTTGGGCTAAAATCGGAATATCAGGATGATGAATATGACCCTAAAGCCATATGCTTGGAATGTATGAGTGATACATCTATTACTTGCATCAAATTTACACCAGGGCAGGACAATCAATTTCAATGGAATAGTTGTGATTTGTGTCACTGGTCATTAGGCTGAACATTAGGCTCAGTTCTGTGCTATACAATGAATTTGCATGCCCTGGAGACGTGATACAGAAAGAATATGAATGACCAGGCAGAAAAAAAAAATCTTTGAGAGTTCTGTCCCACACCTTTCCCTATACCAACATTTTTCCTATATGAACACATGCAAAACACCTTGTTTGACACATTTTTAGGTGTGCTGAGAATGGAAAAAGAAGAGAAACTCAGTGAGAAACTGACAATTCAGTCCTAGCTTAGATAAGCAGACTGTGGCATATGAAATTCCAGGATTTCCCTTTGCTCTAATACACAGATTCCAAATATACAAATACATATAATACATACCACTTCTAGGGTTTCTGTTTCCTGTGACATACAGCCTATGCTGACCAGTAAATCCCCCCTATCTCCCCACTGCGTGTGAATTCCATAATTCTTGCTAACAGCACATCAAATGTGAACTGCATTGTTCGAAGATTTTGTAAGCCAGAACCTATAAGTATAAAATCACATCTGGATGTATCTCTGTTATGCAGAAAGCATATTAAAACTGTATTTCTTAACATATAAGCAGGACTTAGAGAATTCTAAGTATTTGAGTAGTAGAAAGCAAAAGAAAGCACAGAAAGGTATCACTTAAGTTGGCATAATACAGAAATATTTTGAAGAGAAAGAAAAGCTTACCTGGAAAAAGAAGATAAATACACAGTAGAGATTTAAATGTGTTATGTCTTTTAATGCTTTCACTAATAATGAAAAAAGTGAATTGGACTATTCCTGTATAATATTAGAATGAGTAGCTAAAGATATTCCTCAAAAATACCCTTGCTACTAAAGATCTCTTGATACCTAATTTACTGCCCAGGATTCTGGTGACAGAATGAAGACGAGACACACTTATTTTTCATAACTGACTGTGAATTCAGTAGAGGATTTGTTCTGTGGATTTTGATATATGCTAAAGGGACAAACAAATAAGATTGGCATTTGCACAGTGTCATATATGCACAAAATCTGCAATACTGCTTTAACTAGTACCTAGGAAAAACCACTAAGGTTTTCTGAAATAGAAACTGCTGAATATGTATTAGTTGTTGAATAACATAAATTAGTACTCTTTGCAATGCATTTCAAAAGCATTATTTTCCTGCCTGCTAACAGTAACCACTTGGGATTTTCTTTTAAATAGAACAAACTTTCAAGTAAAAAAGACTGGTAGAAGCCTAAAGCAGCTTTAGAGCAAGGTCTATTTTAATTCATAGTACAAGTACATGGTTGGTATAATATTTAAGAATGACAGTGCTGTCTTTCAGTCCTGCTGCCCAAAATACTTGGAAATATATCCTTTCAGAATACAGAGAACATATCCTCTACGAAGTATCCAGATAAATCAGTCCACCCTTGGCTGTAACTAAATGCTGTCTAGTGACTTGTGATCGACAGGGCTTTACCCTCTGACAGCCAGATTCATTGTTGGGACAGCAACCAATCGTCGGGTTTGACGACACGAGCCTAATCAAAGTTGGAGTATAAAAAGCCCCCTTGGAATATATAAGGTACACCAGTGTGGCAAGCTGTCTCTCAGATTGCATTTGCTTTCACGGATCTGTTTAGTACTGGAAGGGAAAGGGGGAGGGGGGGAAAAAAAAAAAGAAGGGAAAAGTGCTGCACTGAATGTGAGATCATGCAAAAGCTAGTGCTCTATGCTTATATTTACCTGCTCATGCTGATTTCAGTTGATCCGGTGGCTCTTGATGACAGTAGTCAGCCCACAGAGAACGCTGAAAAAGACGGACTGTGCAATGCTTGTACGTGGAGACAGAATACAAAATCTTCCAGAATAGAAGCCATAAAAATTCAAATCCTCAGCAAACTGCGCCTGGAACAAGCTCCTAACATTAGCAGGGATGTTATTAAGCAACTTTTACCCAAGGCTCCTCCACTACAGGAACTGATTGATCAGTATGACGTCCAGAGAGATGACAGTAGTGATGGCTCTTTGGAAGATGATGACTATCATGCCACCACCGAAACGATTATCACAATGCCTACGGAGTGTAAGTAACCCTGCTGTTTTCGCCTCCCACTGCTCCTCCGAGAGAGTTGTCTCCCTGCTGTAGAGCCACACAACTCCTCCTCGGGCTCTCCCAACAGGCTGCTGGCTGAAGTCTGCTGGAGGGAGGGAGGAGAGAGTTATTTCTAAAGAATTTGAGCCAGGTTCAGATGACTGTGTTACGAGCTTTTGTTTTACTGTTCCTTTTCGGCTCCTTATAATGTGTGTGCCCTGTAGCACTTTGGATTTGCCCAATGCCTTAGAAAGCAAAGGGAGATCTGCAGTTTAGTTGACTTCGTTATCTGCAGCACCCGGGGCATTTCCTATCATAAATACAAAGCACAAGTGCAGCAAATGAGAGAACTATATTTTTTGTGAGGGAGGTTTCACTGGCCAGTAATTTTAGAAGCAGTAGAAAACAGCAGAAATGTAGCTTAGAGCACTAGACCTACCTAACTGCAACATGTTATAGCATTTGCAAGCAGAGAGTTAAATTCTTGCTTCTCTGCTGACCCCATAAACTAGCACCACCCACCTCAGAGTTAAAACTATATATTTAAAGCAAATATGTGCGTAACAGCCTTAAATGTAAAAATGTCCACGCTCTAGCAATCAGCTCACGTAGTCGTGCCAAGGAAGAATGAAGGCATTTACTGAATGAGCAGATTCTGAGTTATCTTCTGAGTGCTAAACATCTGCTATGGCTCCTATCAAGTATCTTTTGCACAGCTAATACTATAGTATCTTATGTTCTTCATCAGCTAAAGTATTTGGCTATGGCAGCTGTTTTTTTAAATAACACTTATGAATATGATGACAAAAAGGAAAAAGATGACAGGACATATAAGGCATGTTAGCAGTCACAGATATCATTACATTATGCACACTGGAATAATATCAGCTGCTCTCACCAGCTGAAAATATACTCATCAATGAAAAAGTAACTTTCAGTGAAACTTTTCAAGTTATTAATTAATAAGATGAGCACTTAATAGCATTATACTACTGCAGCCTTATCGCAAAGCTGAGGTCTGCCAGCAATTTTATTCCAGCCCATTATGTCCAAGCCTTTATAACTATTTTTGGTCAAACTGCTACATAATTACAGTGACTGAAGAAAAGCCATTGTATTTCATTGCTCTGAGTTCATTTCCTACTTCTTATAAAAAGCCCTTGAGCTATTTTAAATGCACTAAAGAGACAGGTATCTTAAGTGATGAGATTTATGAATGTCAAAGCCCTGCACCATTTAGGATTAGTGCTACCCATTTTATCCTGGCATGGAAAGATATTGCCATGACTAGGTATGACAGCTGCATCACAGGCTACAGGAAGGAGGAACGAAGCACTGCACATGACTTTCCTATAACATTCTTCAAATGAAAACAAAATGATCCTTATGTTAATCCTCTCCATTATTTTTTTTTTCCCATTGAGAAACGAAATTTAAGTGTCTGTGCAGTTTGCCCAGTGCTGTATGCTGTGCAGCACACTGAGGCTATGTGGTAAATTAGAAATAGCTGGATCACCACACACGTGTTGAGTCAGCTTATGCAAAGTTGCTCTTCTGCATGCTTTATGAAGGTCCTCAAGATGGGACTAGCAGAAGTGAGTAGGTGGGAGGTGATAGCATAATAATTTTTTGACATTCATTAAAGTTGCCGTAGAGTGTAAACCATAGAAAATGAATTAAGTTAAATCCACTTTGTTACTGGTACTCTTTACAACATATTGTAATATTTCCTCTTCAGTTTGGAAGAAATTAGTCAGGTTTATTTATGCATTTTTTCTTGTTCCCTGTTCAGTAATCTGTTCTTTCCATTCATTTATAGCTGATTTTCTTGTACAAATGGAGGGAAAACCAAAATGTTGCTTCTTTAAGTTTAGCTCTAAAATACAATATAACAAAGTAGTAAAGGCACAATTGTGGATATACTTGAGGCAAGTCCAAAAACCTACAACGGTGTTTGTGCAGATCCTGAGACTTATTAAACCCATGAAAGATGGTACAAGATATACTGGAATTCGATCTTTGAAACTCGACATGAATCCAGGCACCGGTATTTGGCAGAGTATTGATGTGAAGACAGTGTTGCAAAATTGGCTCAAACAGCCTGAATCCAATTTAGGCATTGAAATAAAAGCTTTTGATGAGAATGGACGAAATCTTGCTGTAACTTTCCCAGGACCGGGTGAAGATGGATTGGTAAGTTTATTTAGAAAAATCTCATTTTATTGAAAAGCATTTAAGCAATGTTTTAAGGATAAAATGGATGCATTGTTTATGGAATGGAAGATAAAAGATCTGTATATCCAATTCTTTCATTCTTTGCTCTCTGATCATGCCAAAATCAGTAGTGTTCCTCTGCCTCTGTTTCCTTATTTAAAAAAATTGAGAGAAATCGCAGTATTTCAGAGGGATGTTGAGAGGCATTAACTAGAAAAGGTTTTGGTAATGACTGGTGGATGGTACTACCAAATAACATTGTTTTCAAATTTGAGAGCAAGTACTGCTTAATAAGCAGTTACTTTATATAAAGCTAAAAGAACAGTCATTGTATTCTTTCACTGATAAGAAAGATGCCTCCAATACTGCTAAGAAAGCAAGGCAGTTTCTCCCTACTCCCTATGCTTGTATTTTATATTAATAACAGCAAGAATTATATGTTTTTGAAGGCAAGAACAGATCTTCTTCATAATGTTAAGTACCTTTCAGTATGTGATAGATTGCATCATTCCACCTATTAGAAATGTTTGAATGCATAAATTCTGCTTGATACAATAAACAGTGATGAGAAAGCCTAAAAGAACTAAGTGGGTTTCTTTTTCTAAGTATAGATGAACAAACTAAACCTGAAGTGTGCCAGTTAAAACTACAGCATTTTCCTTGCTATTTGTTCCTGCAAATCACTAATCATCTACAACCTATAAAAATTCCTAAACTTACCACAACCAAGTAATTTCTCCTTTTGAATAAAACATAAAGAATATTATTTTACTTTTACTTCTGTGCAGTGGACGAATCTGTTGATCACAGAAATATAAAACTATTTAGGTTGGAAAAGACCTTTAAGACCATTGCATCCGTATTTATGTAGCTGTGTAATGTTCAACTTCACAGCAGTATAATGCAATTAAAAAGAACTTAAAAGAAAAACTCTGTGATATCTTAATTGTACATCCAGTATAGATGTGGATCTCCTACACTAGAGAGAGACTAGGTGGATATCATGATGAGCAATGTCCTCACCACGTCCATCCATTCAAATGATGATACCTGTGGGTAACCCATGGCTACCATCATCTATAAATAAGCATTTCAGTGGCAGAGCAGGGTTAAAAGCACAGCTGATAACAGGAGAGGAAATTGTTCTTCTCCTTCCTCCAGGTCCTGCTACAGGGATGTTCCTCTCACCAACTACCTCCCCATATCATTTACCTTTGGGAGGAGTGTCTCCAGCCGCTCCACAGTTTGCAGCTGTAAGGGCAGGTATTTCGGAAGAGAGAAACCTGTGTAACAAAGTTAGCTGGGCCATTAAATACCACTAAGGAATGGTCTTCGTGGGATGGCCTGGTTAGTGCCAAACCAACACATGGGGCTGGAATCAGTGTGTGGAAGGGAGGAACTTCGGGAAAATTTTCAAACTTGTGATCGTGAAGGTTGCAATTTCCATATAGTCTCAGTTGGTGTCTGTGGAAACACACCTCCAGTAGGAAGCATGTGGCATAGAGATCTGCCAAAAGTACATTCCTGGCCACAGGACTCTTCCAGGAGTCAAAATATTAGCTGCCCCTCCAAATTCATTCAGTCATTCAAGCATGCCAGCAATTAAGGAGTAAACTTTGTCCTCCGTAATCTCAACAAGAACCCTTCCTTGATATCCAGAAAGCCTGAATTCAATATGATTTTAATGGAGAGAATTTCAGAAGGACTCACTAAAACTCTTAATATGAAATTTAAAACAAACAAACAAAACCAGCATTAAATGTAAAAAATCCAGCATCCTCCAAGTTTCTGAAATATTCCTACAGCAGGTAACAGAAATGATTTGGTACTGAGATAACAGTGATTTCAGGAACAAATACGTCTTAAGGTTCTTTATAAAGAAACAGCAGGAAAATGCAGAGATAAGTGTAACACATTTGCAGGAGGTCCAAGTTTTGTTTGCAAACTTGATTTCAGAATATTAATTTGATACGCCTGCATCTGAAATCCTATTTATTTGCGTGTTTTTACTGAACTTACGTTTACCTCAGCAATGATTCCAATTCCTTCTCCTCTCCTCACAGAACCCATTTTTAGAGGTCAGAGTTACAGACACACCAAAACGGTCCCGCCGAGATTTCGGTCTCGACTGTGACGAGCACTCCACAGAATCCCGATGTTGTCGCTACCCGCTGACCGTGGATTTCGAAGCTTTCGGGTGGGATTGGATTATTGCACCCAAGAGATACAAAGCGAATTACTGCTCCGGAGAATGCGAATTTGTCTTTTTACAAAAATACCCCCACACCCACCTGGTACACCAAGCAAACCCCAGAGGTTCGGCAGGCCCTTGCTGCACGCCCACCAAGATGTCCCCCATAAACATGCTGTACTTCAACGGGAAAGAACAAATTATATACGGCAAGATCCCGGCCATGGTTGTAGATCGCTGCGGGTGCTCATGAGATCCTCGTCACATCCTCAGAAATTGTGGAAGCTACCAAAAAAAAAAAAAAAAAAAAAAAAAAAAAAAAAAAAAAAAAAAAAAAAAAAAAAAAAAAAAAAAAAAAAAAAAAAAAAAAAAAGAAAGAAGAAAAAAAAAGGAAAAAGTTATATCCCCTCACCAGTCTTTCAAACTGTGAAGTTACGTACACCAGGCATTGCCGACCTCCTGCGGGCTGTATGATAGGCTATCGTACAGATTTAGTGCAGCACCAGCTACAGAACGTGAACTAAAGGACTATAGAGTTACCTGACGGCTGGTTTTGAGCCAGCAAAAGAGAAAAGCTACAATCAAAATCACCGGATTTGATGCAGGAAGTTCTTACATTATGAGGGAATCAATATTCAGTTATTTGGATGCAAATTTATATGCAGGTTTCAGTACACGTTGGTAATCAAAAGCAAGCTCCTTCTCATCTGAGGACAGAAGGAGTGGGCTTTTAAGTTCATTTCTTCACAGCTTCACTTAATATCATATTTACAGGAAATTATATACTGGTAACATATACACCACTACACAATACCACCAGAATCATCCTTAAACACTTGAATATATAGTGCAGACTTGTGAAATGTATCAGATGAAATTCCACATAAATGGACAAATCCTG